GCCCCCTCCCCACTGACCCCTCCCCGTTCCCCCCCAGGGCAGCCCCTCGAGCGTGGCCACCTTCAAGCAGCACCGCGGGCCCATCACGTCCGTGCAGTGGCACCCGGGCGAGAGCGGCGTGCTGGCGGCCGCGGGCGAGGACGACCTGGTGACCCAGTGGGACCTGGGCGTGGAGAGAGACCCCCAGGAGCGTGGGCAGGGGGCCGGGGAGGGCGGGGGGCTGGAGGAGCTGCCCCCCCAGCTGCTGTTCCTGCACCAGGGCGAGAGGGAGGTCAAGGAGCTGCACTGGCACCCGCAGTGCCCGGGGCTGCTGCTGTGCACGGGCCGCGAGGGCATCGCTGCCTTCCGTACAATCAGTGTGTGAGAGCCAAGAATTGGGGTGAAATCACCCAAAATTGGGTCAGGAGTGTTCAAATTGGGGTCAGGAGTGTTCAAAATGGGGTGGGAATGGCACCCGCAGTGCCCGGGGCTGCTGCTGTGCACGGGCCGCGAGGGCATCGCTGCCTTCCGCACCATCAGCGTGTGAGAGCCAAGAATTGGGGTGAAAACATCCAAAATTGGGGTGAAATCACCCAAAATTGGGGTGAAATCACATGGAATTGGGGTCAGGACTGCCCAAAATGGGACTGGCGACTCCTGAAGTGGAAATGGGACCCCAAAATGGGGCAGGAATCCCTCTCAAATTCAGGGGTCTCTGCCCCAATTCAGGGGTCTCTGTGCCCCCAATTCAGGGGTCTTTGCCCCAAATTCAGGGGTCTCAGAACCCCCAAATTCAGGGGTCTCAGAACCCCCAAATCAGGGGTCTCTGAACCCCCAATTCACGGGTCTCTGAACCCCCAATTCAGGTGTCTGTGCCCCAAAGTTTGGGGTCTCTGCCCCCAATTTTTCCTCGTCCCCCCACACTGGCTGATATCCCCAAGCCAAACTTCACCAAACGACTGCAAAAATCCATTTTATTTTTATTATTAATTATTAATTTAAAAAAAAAAAAGTTCTTTTAATTTCTCGCCTTTTGCCAAGCGCGGGAAAATCCCCGCGAGGCCCCGCCCCCTTCCGGGTCACGCGAGGTCGGCGCGCCACGTGAGGGCGGTGCAGGCTAGGGCGCCCCCTGGCGGCGCGGCGCAGAGCAGATCAGGGATACCTGGGGAAGGGTCTGGGACCCTCAGGGTGGGCTCAGGAAGGAAGGGGAGGGGTCTGGGGATACTCAGGGGGGTCAGCAATAAAGGGGAGGGGTCTGGCACCCTCAGGAGGGGTCAGCAATAAAGGGGAGGGGTCTGGGACCCTCGGGAGGGGTCAGAGGAACAAAGGGGAGGGGTCAGAAGGATAAGTGGGAGGGGCCTGAGGAGGGCCCTCATGGGGGGTCAGGAATAAAGGGGAGGGGTCTGGGACCCTCGGGAGGGGTCAGAGGAACAAAGGGGAGGGGTCAGAAGGATAAGTGGGAGGGGCCTGAGGAGGCCCCGCCCCTCACCCGGGTACACCAGGAAGTCGCCGCCGAATTTCCCGCCGCGGGTCAGGTGCAGGCCCCGCCCCCAGAGCGCGCGGAACACCCGGAAGCGCCGCTCGGCGGAGGGGGCGTGGCCAGGAGGGGGCGTGGCCAGCGCGGCTCTGGCCCCGCCCCCACCCGGCGGGGGCTCCTCGCGCTCCTCGGCCCCGCCCACCTGGGGGGGAGGGGCGGCTCAGAGGGGGAGGGGCGGTTTGGGGGGGAGGGGCT